ATGTTGAAAAACCCTCTGATTGATCATCTTGACATCGAGATGTATGACCATGGAAAATAAAAAGATTTTAAGTCTCGGAAATAGTACATTTTACAACATATTATCTACACCGTCCATTTTCAAGATATTTATATGTTTATAGATCTATTTGATTTTAACCATTTTTGAAATTTAAAATTTTATAATTAGATATAAAATAGATTTTGAGATAATCCTAAGAACATTTTACATCAAAATTATATACTAAGATAAAATTTGAAGGTGCACCATACCTCTACAGCTATGGATGCATCTGTATGCCAATTGCACCATTTATATTATGCATAGTGAATAGTGATCAGCAAAAAAAGTTCGAAAAAATTAAGTTCCTACCCCCCCCTAAGAACTTAATCTTTCACTTTTTAACGAAAGAATGTGAACTTTTGTTGAAAGATTCGTTTTTTAACTTTTCATGAAAAGTGCAAAACAAACGCGGAACTTGTTCAAAATCTGAAAGAATAGTTTATGAAAGATTACTTTCATAAAAACAAACATGCTCTATATGAAGGTGCACTTTACTTTGAATATCCTCTGTCATTCTCACACACATACTCTTTCTCTCTTTGTATTTTTCTTTTTTTGACAAGAGTACCGAATACTATTAAGTAAATAGAATAATTACATTGATAATGTTAAAATAAAGAAGACAACCAAAGAATCTACTGAACCACTCTTCTTAACTAAGTCGTCTGCCATAGAATTTGCTTCTCTATAGATATGCTTAAGAGTAAAATTGATCCCCAACATTAAATCCCTAACTTGCGGCCATAAAGAACAAAATTGCACCAATTGATAACATTGATAGTATCTTCTTCTATGAGTAAACTATTCCCCATGCCTTTCTCTCTCCAAATCAGTAAACTATTCCCCATGCCTTTCTCTCTCCAAATAAGCAAACCTTGCAGCAAAGCCTTCATCTCCACATGGTTAGTACTGCCCTCGTCACATTGGGCAGCATAACAAAAAAAGATATTACCCTCATAGTCTTGACATACTCCTCCCACCCCTGTATGTACTGGATTCCAAGTGAAGAGGCATCAAAGTTAAGTTTATAATCACCCATAACTGGTGGAACCTATAAACATCGTGGCCTTACCCAGATAGGTCTATGAAGTATCAAAATAGCAAGATTATGCTCCACATCAGCCCTTGAAATTCCCCATCCTTCCTTTTGTCACCCTAAACCAATTCCAAGTAGTGAATAAAATTTTGTTTTTAAGATCCATCAACTCTAACGCCATCTCATAAAAAACTCGGTGCTTTCTCTCTAACCATAATTCCCACAAAAGTACACCTCTTAGAATATCCCACGCTTTCGGCATTGCACACATTTTCATATGCCTGACGAGATGGAACACTGAGGAAGCAAGTGGCATAAGCACACCCACTTGTTGCATTGCCCAACACCACAAT